GTTTGTCACAGCCCCTCGTTTGTTGTCCTCTTCTCCCTCTCTGCCTACGGTTTACCGGGCAGTTCTATTTGACGATATATATATATATATATAACCATTATTTTTAAAATAGACTTTTATTGACTCTTTGCTTGTCAGAATCCACAAAAATAAAACATCACTTTCATAGAAATTTTCAAAAAGAATTTCTGCAACAGAAATGATAAGACTCAAAGGAGTCTACCCATGTCGTAGCATGGTTTCAAACAAGAAATGTACAATCAATCCAGCTTTCGAAGCTTCACAAACTCATCAAACTTTCACATGAGATACAGATCCGCCCATTCCTCTATCACCTCTTTAGATCTCAACAGAGTCATAGTGATAGACGAAGGGAGAACTTAGGTTATCAGAGACTCAACCAAAGACAAAGGCCAACACACAATGTGAGAAGTGCGTCGTGTCCACTACCTCATCCCCCTGAGTGATACATATATAAATACAAGTATGTTACAGAGTCAGATCACCACTCCACTCTACTATCCCTCAAGTACCTCTCATGTCATTTCCTGTACTACTTCCTATGCTAAGTCTCCTCATCCGACTGAAGAAAAACACACAACTTGTCTCACTCCTGTTCTCATGTCCAACTGAAGAAGAAAAACATATCCCTTGCTCTAATTTACACATTTCTCTCTCTCATAACTGTCTTTTTAAGCCGATTCAAGTCATAGTTTACTCAAAACATCTACCTACTCCTACCTAGAAATCAACTGGCAGTCCCAGTATCCTATGAAGTGCTACCCTGCCTCCCTCAGGTATCCTGGGAATGGTCTGCCCTGTGCCGGCCACCAATCTCTTATGACTATTATATTTGGCTTTTCCTTCCTTTATATAAATTGCTAGAATGGAACACTCATCCCTGAGGTGCCCTTCCTGGGCGCAGAAGAAACATCTTTGTCCAACCATGCTAGGCTTGATTCTCTTTATGTCTGGCTGGATTGAAGTTTCAGCCTGATCTTCAGCCAACTTTGGTGAGTCCAACTGGGATTCCCTTTGCCTTTTACCCTGTCCTGACAGAGGCATAGCCACACTCTCACTTACTTTCTTTTCTGGTGCAGGAGACTCTTATTTCTTCTTCTCAGTCTGTGCCCCCTTCTCTTCACCCCCTTTTCTTTCCACCATCACTGTGGCTTCCTTCTCTTTCCCCTGTTGGCTCAGTCTGAATTCCTCCTCCTCTCAATATTTCTTCCCATCTTTTCTCCCACTATTATCCCAACTTCTTTCTTTCTGAGATGTCATTGTCCAAGTCCTGCCCTAGCACACTGACCGCAGAAACAAGACCATCCACCCTTATTTCTAGCTTACCTCTTGTGGCCACTTCCTCTTTCAGTTCTCTGCTCCGCACATTCAGGGTGACCCTCAATTGACTCATTTCTTTTTGCAATTCCTCCTTCTCTTTCTTCAATTCCCTCACTTCCTTCCTCATTTCTTCCATATCTCTCAGCAACTTCTCCACCTGACCGTCCTTCTCATCTTCCTTCTTTCCTATCCCACTTGTCTCTTTCTTGTCCCTAATCGGCCTCTTTTCCTTAGTTCTCTTGACTTTGGGAGCCTTGCCTCCTCCCTAGATCTCCTTTCCCTCTTCGTCTTCTTCTACTCCTTCCCCTTTTTCACTCACCCTTTCTTGTACCTCTTTCCTTTCACTCTCAATTGCCCTTTTCTTTCCAAGTTTCTTCTTCCTTGGTACCATACTGGCCCCCATACTTCTTTTCCTCTCCTCTACTGCCTCCTCCTCTTCTTGTTCATCTCCCTCAGCCTGCTCCGATTCCTTGCTGCTGCTCTTGGGGGGGACCCTCGCCTTGTTCTTCAACTTCTTCAGAGGTACATTATCCTCTTCTTCATTCTCTTCCTCCTTCCCCTGTGGCTCAGTCACCTCTCTTCCAATCCATAGCCCCTTATTTTGCAGCCTTTCCTTTCTTGTCCGGTCTTGTCTGGCCTGGGTGTAGGCCATCCACAACTCTGCCGTGATCCTTTTCCAGGTCCGACTCCCTTCCACAATTCCTCTTACTTCCTCTTTTTCGCCTTTGTCTGATCTTGCGATCAACTGCTTCCTCTTTTCCTCCTCGCTCCATTCGCCCCTCTCAGCGGCCAGCTGCAAGCTCTCAATAAAGTCTTCCAGATTGGTCCCTTCAAACCTTAAATCATCCTCCACATCATCCCTTGGGAATTCCCCCATGTCTCTCCATAGTCTCACCTTGCATACCCTTCATCTTGTGCACCCTGCTACCACTCCTTCAATCCTCCTCTTGTACATTCCTGCTCCACTCACATTCGCAATCTTCTCCCTGTCACCCCATTCTTTCCTTAAGGCGTACTCCTCAAGGTCTCGCAGGAAAACTCGCAGGCTATCTCCAGCCCTGTAAATGGGCAGCTCCTCCAGGTTCCTTGAGATTCTCTGTTCCCTCCTCTGCCCTCCCTTTCTCAAGGCAGGTCCAGAGGGCCCTGCCACTGCTCCTCTCTGCGCCATGGCCTCTTCTTTCCAAGGGTCACGCCTGCACACAGAGAAGGAGCAAATGACAGGTACGAGGGTAAGATTATCACCAAGACAACATTCCTTGTTAACACAAGTTGACAATGCCCTCCTTTATCAGATACTTACATACACGCACATATACACACATATATATATATATATATCATATATACATTGTGACGATATATATATACATATACACATACATAAGCGTATATACACACACATATCCCCACTTATACCCCTCTGCATCCATGTACGTACACATACATATATATATATATCTGTATATATGTAGTCATATATGTATGAGCATAATCTTGGGCAATTGGGTACATACCCGCATAGGAACTGATACACATATTCATGCCTAAATACCTTCCCAATCTATCAAAGTTTTCGTATCGTAGCTGAACTTACCTCTTCTCTGACTCGGAACTTCTTCAGTCTAGATCCTGAGACCCAGTCCTTCCTTGGAGTCTCATACATCTCTTCTAGCTCATATGCCCCATGAAGTCCCTGTCTCCTGACTTTGAATGGTCCTAGCCACCGTTTGTCCACTTTCCGCGACCACTGCATTTCCAGAGAGGAATCGTAGAGTAGTACTGTCTTGCGAACTTGTAGAGGTCCGAGTCTTACTCTAGGTAGCTTGTCCCACCTTTCCTTATCCTTTCCCCTGCTGTCTGCAACGTTCATGGCTGCTTCCTGCACCCTTTCTTCAGTGGCGCTGATGTATACTCGTGCGGTCTGCTTTTGGGCAGGTGAAACGACCGAGTATAAGGGGAGGCAGTGGAGTAGGCGGTATCACATTCACACAGTACAAAATACATGAGATTTATCCCACACATCTCTCACACAAAGCCATCATATATTGGGATAAAGCCACACGTGTGAGAGTGGTCGTGACCGTCACAAGAGTAAGTCCCACAAAGTCCGGAATCAACAATATACTCGGGAGCAAAATATCTCCCTCAAGTCTCAATATAATACTTCACTCAAGCTCTCACACATACAACTCGCAGGTTGTACCTAGGAATAGGATGCCTGCCCCAATGAACAACCCAAACACTCAGCTCACTGTTCCACTCTACAGGGTAGACTCACACCCCAGGTGTTATGGCTTAGGATCCAATCAGAAACATAAACAAGGTTTCCAAACCTCCAGAACTAATGTACAAATCACATAATCACAGGTATCTCACAACTGAATCTCATCCGCTGAATTGTATCACACACAAATTTTAACCTAGATCAAGCACTACAATCTATATATATACAACTAGACAGGACTCGCCTGACTAACTCAGGGTATGTACACCCCTATCCCGACCTCTGTGTACAGAGGAACTTTAGTCCTACTGTCATATGGGCAGACCAACCCCTACTTACTCATGACCTCCTGGTTCTGCCTATATAACTGTGCCCTACCCCCATCTGAAGTCCGCTCTACCACTCGCCCCTCTCTGTCATACATCCTTCCACCGCGCTCCGTCACTCTCCCAACCGCCTTATCCTTGAGGAACTTTGGGCATTCAGGAGCCCTATGTACGTCATGCTTGCAGAAGAAGCACTGATCGTCAGGTCTCCCCCGACACCTCCTCTTCTTCTTCTGGGACCCTGACAATGATGGTGTCTCACTGGCCTCTCTACTCATCTCGTGGCTCTAGGGCATACTCCATGACTCCGCCAGTCTTGCCTCCATCATCTAGGTACTCGGCCCTGCTAGCATCTCTTCTCCCTCGGGTCCGTACGCTGGAGTGTCCAATCTCAGTGGCCTACCCTCGCGGACCTCTCCCACCTGAGGGTTCTCCAGAACTTGCTCCCTCAAAGCCTTGATGGTTTCCGGATCCGCCATGTCATGTGCCGATACCACCTCCATGGCCTTGTTCACATCTGTGAGGCTCAGCGTCAATACCTCAGCCCTATCTTCCTCCTCGGGCACTTCCCAAAGCCGTCTTCGCTCGTTCTCCGATTCCTCGAAGGTGAACGAGCCAAGGCTAGGCCTGTTCCTTCCGCTCCCCGGTCCCGTGTTTCGGCAGGTGATAACTTCATAGTTCCCGCACGCTGGATCACATAGGAGCAGGATCATTGTCCCGTCGTGCTTATTAAAAATCAGCATTTCCGTTCGGCACAGGAACGACCGCCCCAGAAGGATGGAAACGAGTTCTTGACCGCACCTTCCCGATCTCTATGATCACGTTAGACGTCGTGCCGCAAAAAGCAGCCTTACAGTTGGCGCCGTGCAACATACCGTGATCCGAACGATCGATCTCCATCCCCATCATCACCGCCTCCTTCTCCCTTATGATGTTCATCTCCGCGCCTGTGTCCACCATCCCAGTGCACTTCTGGTTCTTTATCACCAGGTCCACCTGCCCGCACGCCACACATTTCCAACCCATTCTCGTCCCTGCCTCAGTCCACTCCACCTCCCTGGGCAGGACCGTACTCAGGTGGACATTCGGTACCAGCCTTCGCGAAAGTCGGTCTTTCAACTCACCACGGAGCCTTGGCGCCGACGCCAGGATGTCCTTTAAGTTCATCAAGTCATTGTGGCCTTCCAGGAGCTTGTCCACCATCCGTTCCATATCAAAGCCTTCTTTCATCCGGACCGCGTACTTCTTCCTCTTAGGCACGCTGTCAGGCAGGCTTGGCTCGGCCTCCTCCCGGGCTCCTCTCTTTTTGGCCCTCAGCTCCGCCCGCTGATCCTCCTCTTGTCGGAGCCTCTCATCCTCTTCATCGTCATCCTCTTCCTCTTCCTCCGGAACCTCCGCCACCTCCCTCCTACATCCTGGCTCAGGCTCCTTCCGAGGGGGTGCCTGACAGGGCGCCTGACTGGACTCTTGGCTAGGCCTAGCCTTGTTTTGGCTCCTGGTCCGAGCTGCCTGTGGCGCCCTCCCATGCGACATGGGGGGTTTATAGGTCATACCCGACCTAGGGCCCGTCCCTACGGTCGCCACTCTTGGGTACCCCTGTTGTCCTGACGAAGGTTCAGGTCCGGAGTCATAAAGGAAGACCTCGGGCAGGTTGGCTTCCCACCTTAGGGCCTCTTCACATAGAGTCTGCAACTTCTGCTGGTACCTGCCCACCTTCTCCAGCAGATCTTCCATCTTCTCCAGGATGAGTATGGCCAGCTCTCTTTCATCTCCCTGCCCCTCGTCATCCGACTCGACGACTATTGGTTCCTCCCTTATAGTCTTTGCCTTTAGCCGCTGAGTGACCTCCTCACTATCCCCCACAATCTCCTCAACTCTTATGGCCGACTCTTCTCTCTCCTGCCACATCCTGAACATGGCCGGGGGTACCGATGGCCCTGCCGCCGCTCGCCTAAGAGCCTCTTGCCTGATTCCTCCCGGGGTCCTGGGGTCGATATGCTCCCCCCACTTATCATATATATCCCCGTCCATACAAGAGGAAATTAAACCTGCCAACTCATCATCTCGTCGCCGTTGGCAGAACCGTATGGTGTGGCCTACATCGCCACAATGTCAGCAGGTGGTGTTTCGCCAGTCAAAGCGGGGCCTCCCATACTCTTGGCCCCCTTCCTGCCCACCTTGGCCACCCTGGTTCTGACCCCCCTGACCATTCCAACCACCTCCGCGACCCCCACCATTTCCTCCTCGGCCCCAGCCGCCACCTCCTTGACCCCCTTGACCTCGGCCTCCATTGCCTTGTTCGCCCTATCCTTGGTTTCCTCCCACGGCCACGCTAGCCTGCGAGGCCTGTTGGGAGGGAGGTGGTTGGGCCACAAACTGACCCTGGGTCGCGGGGTAGCTTGGGGGACCCATACTTGCCGCCGGGCCCGCATAGGGGACCATTTGCCCAGGGTGGGTCTGACTCCCTCCACAGGAGGTACAATGATTACAGCTGGTCCAGGGCGCGAGCTGACAATGCGGCATCCAATGCCCACACGCCGGCGGCGGCCCCATGCACGACGGTCCGGCCGACGCTGACGCTGTCGTGGCGGCAGGTGGCGGCAAGGCAACTGCTTGCGGGGCCTGTCCTTTACCTGATCCTTAACCCCCCATTAGTAAATTCTGCTGCTTCCTCTGAGCGTTGGTCAAGATCTGGGAGCCCGTCTCTTCCCCGCCGTAGTCCTCGCACCCAGCCTCCTCCTCCACTGCCCCTGATGTCCGACCTTGGGCCACGGTCACCCCCCTCTTTTGCACTTCCGCCTCATTATCATACCCCAGCGCTGCCAATACGTCCGTGACGATCCTCTTCACCCCCGGGGTCCCGGATGCGGTGGCATCCCTTTCCTTTCTCTTACGCCTTTGCAGCTGCACCTGATGCTGTTCCACCTGGTCCAGGCTCCCCTCTTCCACCCCTTTGTCAATAGTGGCCCAGGTGAGTTTGTCATTCCCCCCCCCGTGACCTATCAGCTCTGCGGCCTCCGCGCCAGTCAGTAGGCCCAAAAATATGGCACACTGTGTTTCTTCGGAAATCTCGTGCACCTTCCTCGCCTTCCTTTTGAACTCGTGCACAAACGCCCCAATCGTGGAGAATTCATCCTTGTTCATGGCCTCCAAATCTGCCGCGGTCAACAAGCCATCCCCCAACCTGTACTTTCTCTGCATCATGTCCCTGAACCTCGCCCAGCTACCATTGGCGGCATCCACAACCTTGCCCACCTCCTTATGATGGCTATAGAGGACATATCTTAGGATTCGTTGGAGCTTGATCTCATCCGACAGCCGTACCACTGGCAGTGCCTGCTCTGTCAGATCCAGCCAGTCGGACACCCGTTCTCCCTTGAAGTGGAAAGTGTCAACCTTCGGGACATAGCTCGGCGCTCTCTCGCGCTTATCCAAGGCATCAATGAGGTCGTCGAGCGTTACGAGCCTTTTCCCACCGTCTGCCATCCCCTCAGGCATTTTGATTAACCGCCTTCGGCTTCAATCCCCCTGTTATAAGAAACGATAGGACGAAAGGTTTCACTCATCAGTCCCCTCCATTACGATCCTATCGAGCTAACCACTTCAAACGCCCGACGCCCCGGATCTGACAAACGTTTCTCTTCCTAGTTTTCTTAGGCTCACCTAGGTAAGGTTTGTTCTCACCATAAAATTTCCCCCACACATTCATCTCATTCACACCATCAGCCGAACCGCCAAACAATCAACGTTCACACTCACACAGCCATATGGACTACTATACGATCCATCTCATCGTCCTACCTTTATCCACTCATGTACCTAGTTCTCCCTCATTCTCAGACCCGGATGTCGTTCCACCAAGGACAACGGTAGGCTTCCGTTATCCCCGGCAACGGCGCCACCTGTCGCGCGCATCGCTCCGGCACCGCACGTGGCAGTGCGGGACCCTCCCGGCCGCGTCACGCAGGAGTTGGGCCAACTTCGTCGCGAACACACAAATGGAGCCTCCTTAGGCCACTCCGGCCGAGTGCGCCAACCATACCTCTCGCGAGCCCCTACGACAGGATAGGGCCTACGCGAGGCACAACTTACCTCCACCTTACAGGAGCTGTCACCTCCCTTCGGTGGGCGTATCCCCGTCGAGCTACCAGTCTACAGTACGAAAGCTACTCGGTTGCAATCGCAGAGGTGGACCAGCCGAGGGTGTTTCTCGTTCACTGTAGCATAGGGGGTACGAACGGTAATACGCCTATCGGGCCTACACGCGAACCGACATCCTGGGGGGCTGAAGTCCCAAGCGAGGCTCGTCGTCGGTCGACTAGGATGCATCCCACACACCACGCGCAAACCACTCTACGAAACACAAAAATAAAATGCATACACACGCACATACAACACGACATAACGTGACAACACTCCTAGTCCCTTAGTAATCATCCCATAACTTTCCGACACAGAAATCAGATAGACGTCGCGCGCGAGGCTTGGTGTAAAGACCGCGCTGACGCAGGGCAAACTCATATCGACTCGCAATGCAAGCGTACGAAAGCAATCGCAATGATGGCGTACCATGTAGTACCCATACTCATGCGGTCCTCGTTAAACTCGAGGGTTGCATTCGACACTCAAGTGTCGGCTGACATGCGACGCCGGACAACCGCCATGCGCGGTTGAAGACCACATACCCTCTTCTGCACTTTGTGCAGAGCGGGTGGTACACAGGTCCGGAACCTGTGGTGGTAATCGTTTCTCGCGGGTCTGGGCGAAAGTCAAGGGGTTTGACTTTGACGGCCGCCACGGACTATAACGTCCAACCATAATAATACTAAAAAGGCAAGCAAAACACGAGGTCTACCTCCAATTACATCAAAGAATCGAACAGCAAACCACGCACTACACGGAGTCAACCCAAACCAATCTCTGCACTCATACCCTTTGCTTTAGCAATGCAAGCCCAAGTCTCCTGCCTAACCAACCATAATTAAATACTCAGTACCTTTGTTAAATGACCATTCAATAAAAGTTCAGGTGAAACCCTCAACAAACAATAAAGTCACCAGGGCTAAAGCCTTTTAGGTTGGGTATGAAGAGTGAGTTGGAATTGAGTCGTAAACCGACGAATCGGCAACCGACCTGTTATCAGTGATAACAGAAGACGATCCTTATAGGATCAAGCTGACGCTATCCCAAATCTTGAATCGAATGTCCAAGAAAGGCCTGTACCATGAGACAGGTCAACGCCCAAACTAAATCATCAGCACATGGGGGATGAACCTCCATAGCACATTCTCACTCAAAGTTATCTGCCAACCAAGTCCAGGCCTACCTCTAAGCCAGTGTCGAAGCAAAGGTAGACTAAAGGCAGAATCTCCCCTATTCAGGATGGATTGCCAGAATCGCCACCTGTCAAAATATAATTTAACTCCTCTAAATCAAAAAAATTTCGGCAGCGCTTCCCGTAGGAAAAGTGTCTTTTCAGAATTCATGTCAGCCTAAATATGAAAACGTAGATAGTCTTTGACTTTCCAAAGTTCAAATTTGTCTAACTCCTTGATTTAGCAAAAATTTGGGCAGCACTCCCTTTAGAAAAGGAGACTTTCCATATTTTTACTAAGTCGTATATGAACTTTAGACAAACTGAACTTTAAAAAGTCAAAATTTGACTAACTCCTTGGATTTGCAGAAATTTCGGCAGCGCTTCCTGTAGAGAAAGTAGCTTCCCAAAATTTATACAAAGCCAAGTATAGCAAAAAAATCCCAGAAAATCCACGAATCGATCTAAGAAAAAACTTAGCCCAGAAAATGCAGGAATTGACCTAACTCCTATCGCTCTAGCACGAGGCGAGCCTCTAAAGCAACTACCTGTCAACCTGACACTCAAACCAAGTAGTAGCCTTACTCAGTCTCATGCAGGCCAAACCACAAAAGTAAGTACTCTCGCCACCCCAAGTTAAACTTTGCAAATAATAGTTCGTAATCCCTCGATGCTTTATTCCCTCATACCCAGCTTACATAGGGCATAAAGTCAAGCCATCCAATCTTATGGAACCTGCCTGACTCAGCCATTGAGTATACACGAACAGGTTGCACAACTACTTCTCTCTTCCCTTTGGGCATATGACTAAGTTGTTCATCTTAGAACAAGGCTCAGCCGCCCTGAACTGTTTAATATTCAAATTATATATACCTCTCCAAGCTTGGTGTTCAAAAGATGGGCATAAGACTGAGATGTTCATCTTAGAACAAGGTCCGGCCTGCCCAGGGTTACCCTCAATTATACTCTTAGTTATACTCTTTTCATTACATGATAAGCTATAGTCTGGCCGTCCAATCTTATGGAACCCGTGCCTGGCTAGCCTGTTCATAGATAGAATAGTATAAAATATAACCAAAATTTAACATTTTGGGTTCCAGCATGTGCGAGGCATTGGGCCAGACCGTCCAATCTTATGGAACATATTTGGTCCTCTGCCAGATTCGTTGCTCTGATCCAACTGTGTGCGGCATGAGTCCAAAGCCGTCCAATCTTATGGACATGCTTTGCCCTCAGCTAGAATTACTCCCTCTGAATGAAACAAGAAGGGGCTGAGCCATCCAATCTTATGGACTTGCTCAGGCCTCCTCGATCAAAAACAAAAGAAACAGAACAAACCCCAATCAAACATGGCAACCAAACCCTCTAATTTTATGGTACAGGTTTGGCCCCTGAAAAGTCGGCCACAGTCAACCCCTCACAATTCAGAGTAATCAGACCATCCAATCTTATGGAACTGGTCTGAACTCCATGCAATTCAACAATAAACACAGCGGTCAGGCCGTCCAATCTTATGGAACTGGTCGGAACCAATAGGACCCTGTCAGCCTCAGGCAAAACCACCTTTCACCCACCCTTCCCCCGGATGCACCCCTTTGTGTTCACAATCTGCGTTCAGGCAAGCAACAAACTGAAACTGCGATTGCACACACATTCCTTTATTTAGTCTGAGTTGTGTCCTGTTAGTCAACCCAAAATCAAAGTAGGGGTGCATACAGTATACTCAGTCAACATAGCAGGACGTACAAGTAGGGGTTATACCAGGGTATATAGAGGGAAAGCAAATGGTTACCTTTCAATTCCCTGTCTCCAGAGCCTCGCCTAGACTCCGGCAGAGCTCCCGCAATCGGTGGGGTAAACCTCCCACAAGGCCTTGGCGCGGATTACGGGTTGCAATCCTGCCTGCCGCCTTCCTCTCAGAACCAAGCAGACTAGACTTAGAGTAAGAAGGGTAGAAAAAGAAGCATTTAGTCTCTCAGATATAAGAGGGGTGCTCTCAGACTCGCGTGAGAGGACCTTAATACCTCGGTACCCCTGAGGGCCCCACAATGGCGGCCAACTTGCAACAGCTTGGTCGCTCTCCTGACGTCAACTGTCGAGGTTAACACCCTTGCCGACCACTCAGCCCATGACATCCACCTCCCTTCCTCCTACGCCCAACCTCGCTGACCGCAGGTCGCAATGTCCAACAACCAGCCGAATCTGACATGCATCAGTGTACCGCAGTCAACAATAGTGGTGACAACACCTTAGGAATTAGTGACAGATCTCACTCAGCCAGTCAAACGCAGTCCGCGCCCCACTCTGCAGCAGCGGCACTTCGCCCGCTGCAGCCAACAGTATAACGTCATCCTGTCTACCCGCCGGCTGCTCACCTGTACACACCGGCTCCACGACCGGCAGCCCCCGGTGTCGGCTGCAGTGTCCGCCGCACAGGCTGTAACAGGCCGCAGCCAGCCGTTGTACTGCAGTGCTCGGGACACCTCGGCAAGGATCTGCCGTACGAGACAGCAGGGGACGCCCCGAATCCGAACCAGTAGCAACCCGCCCTGCACATCAACGCTCTGCAACAATGGCCCTCAATCGGTAACTGTTCCACCTAGGTAACGTGACTGGCACAAGTATCAGTGACGACAACAGCGTAGTAGTGGTTAGACATATCCGCGAGCCAAGGTGATGGCGTCTGGACCAACTGCGCCTCCTTCCCTTCCTCCTGAGGAGGTAGGCCTTTAGTCCCTTGGCAGATCTCCCGTCCCTTTCAATCGATGGGGTGTATACTACCTCGACCAGGCAAATCTCCAGTCCCGCGGGCGGTCGCATGCTACATCAGTCGGCCGAAATCGGCAGCCCATCGATCCGTTACGTGCTAGGACTTACCACCCCGTACCCCTCTACTCGACCCACTAAGTGGACCTAGTACGAAAGAGTTTCCCGCCAGAATATGGGAGCATGCACCGCGGGCAAATACGAGGTAAGTGCCCCGATGTCGCACCCCCGCTCCTCCGTCATCCCGCTCGATTGAGCAAGCTAAACCAACCGGACCTTCCGCTAGTACACAGGAAGATGGATCTGGCCCGTTTTCACTGGCTCCCTCGGACACACCGTAGTGCCGCCTCGCGCACTAGCCTTCCTTCTGTCCTCGCTGCCTACCCACTGCCTGCCCGATCCATCTTCACAGTTGAAGTTGCCCACCTCTAGAACCCCTGTCTCGAACCCCCCCCCGTCGGATTCCGTTGGGAATCGCGTAGACTATAGGTCCCCACA